CAACAAGTTTCCTTTCTCTTTGCCTAAAAAATCTCCATAGCTAAAATTTTATATTTTGGATTTGCCTTTTTGACTTTCCCTTAAATATATTGCGGAGTACTATAAGAGAGAAGGAGAAAATAGAGAGAAAGAAAGGAGGGTAATTATAGAAAGAAAGGAAAATTATTTTCAGATCCCTAGATTTTTACAAAATTCATTAGTTCATCATTAGTGTTTATACAAATTATTTCATAGTCCCCGATGTATGCTTTCGTTTGACTTTTTAGTCCTTCCATTAAAAAATAACAGTTCTTCAAATTTTTTTTACATAAAAAGACAGAAATACCCTTATTATAGGACCCTCAAATATTATTACATTCTTAATTACCTATCTTCATCTCTCTTTACTGTCTCCTCCTTCATTCTCTCCTTCTTATGCTCTGCCTAAACGCCTACCGCCGGCTTCAAATACCCATCAACAGTAGAGGGATTACTTGTAGAATTATTGTAAGATAGAGTTCAACCTTAGTAGAGATGGCCACTATTATGATCTGTTGTATTGAAGAAGAAATGTGTGTTTCAGGAAGAGTAATTAAGTGAAACGATGTGCTTTTATAAAAATGACAGACCAACAATTACCGGTTAGTTTGTTGGATTATTGTTAGTCAATTTGGTACACGTATTGATCAGTTTGTTGCAGGTGTTAAGTTGGATATATACCAATTAATCAATTTGTTGTAATCAGTTTTATATCATGATTGATCCTCAATAAGACTCTTAATTCTTTCTCGATTCATCTTCCTATCTCGTCTTCTCTTCTTTCTCTGTTATTTGTATTCTCAATTCTTTAGAGTTTATCAACTAGAATCAGAGCCCACAATCCTTGGGCATGGGTACTGATGGAACCATAATCAGAGCTCCAGAGGCTATTCGAAGAGAATTAGCACTCTTAGTTACTGAATCTGAACAAAAGGCAAGAATTGAGGTTACAGAGCATTGTTATAGAGCTTAAAACCCTTATTGCTGGTTTAACACATCAACAGACTGAGATTATGGGAAGAACTAGATTAGGTAATTCTCAAACTCATATTGCTAATAATACAACTAGAGAACCTATTCACAATCCGTGGGGAAATAATGCAAAGCTGGATTTTCCAAGGTTTAATGACGACAATTTGGAGAATTATTTAATGAGATGCAATTATTTTTTTGATTTGGAAAAAATTATGCCAGAGAATAGGGTTAAGACTATAGCAGTATATTTGGAGGGCATGGCAATTCAATGGCATCAAGGCTATGTTAAATTGAAGGGAAATAGAGCCTATGATGATTGGGTAGAGTATGTCAGGTCTTTGAGTGCCAGAGTTGGCAATAGTGTGTTTGATGACCCCTAAGTTGAGTTGAGAAACCTAAGGCAAATTGATTCCTTACAGGAATATTTAGATTCCTTTGATGAAAAGTATCCTAAGGCAGGAATTTCTATTTAGGCATTAAGTTTCTTTCTTTCAGGACTTAAGGATGAGCTTCAAATGCCCATTCCAATGTTTAAAACCCAATCACTTGTAGAGGCTTATTCTTTAGCCAGATTGCAAGAGCTTACGGTAGCTGCCATTCAACAGAAACCTAAACCAATAAGAACACCTTTATCAACCCTTACCTACTTCAATAATCATAGCACCCATACACCCAATTACAGCAACCTAAAGCAAAGCAACCATTTTAAACCCCAATCACAAAATTAGAACCCAAATAACTTTTCAAAACCAAATCCAACCCTAAAGAACTAAGTTGGAATATTACCTACACAAAATATACCAAGATTTGCCCAAAATTCAAGATTTCCAACCACACCTTACTAGTAAGGAAATGGATGAGAAGAGGGCGAAAACCTTTGTTTTTAGTGTGATGAGAGATACTCACTTGTGCATAGATGCAAAAAGAAGCAATTGTATGTATTACAATTGAAAGAGATTATCACTGACGAAGAAAATGAATTTATAGACTGTATGGAGGAAACTGAAGACCATTTAATGGAAAATGAGGGACAACTTTCATTAAATGCATTATGGGGGACAGGGAACAATCAAACCATGATTCTGAGAGGACTAAGTGGAAAGAGAAGATTACATGTTCTTATTGATACTGGAAGTACTCAAAACTTCCTTAATGAGGAGATGACTCAAGAATTGAATTGTCCTGTTACAAAGATTGCAGGGTTATGGGTGGAGGTGGCTAGTAGTCAAGAGTTAAAGTGTGAGTATATGTGTAAGGAATTCCATTGGGTTATGCAGCAACAGGAATTCAGTGCTGATGTAGATGTACTACCCTTGGAAGGATATGACTTAATTTTGGGTATTCAGTGGCTGAAGACACTTGGTGAAGTTAATTGGAACTTTACAAATCTTACCATGAACTTCAATTTAGATGGTAAATCTTCTTTCTTAAGGCAAGCAATTTCCAAATGCATTTCAAGCATTAAATGTCCTTACAGTTAAACACAAACCTGAGTGTTTTTCAATAAACAAGATTCATGAGTTGTATTCTCTAATTGCAAAACCACCCAAAGTACAAGAATGGAGTGAATCAGCTAGCTTACTTCAGAAATATGACAGTATATTTTAAGTGCCAAAAGGTTTACCACCACAAAGAGCCCATGACCATAGAATTCTTGTTAAACCAAGATCCCAACTTGTCAATATAAGGCCTTACAGATATGCTTCTAAACAGAAAACTGCAATAGAAGAAATGATTAAGGAGATGTTGGCAAATGGTGTAATCAGGAATAATAGTAGTCCTTACGCCAGTCCTATAGTATTGGTAAAGAAGAAAGACAATGCATGGAGAATGTGCATCGATTCTACAGCTCTCAATAACATTACCATGAAAGACAAATTTCCAATTCCTTTAATTAATGAGCTACTTGAAGAGTTAGAGGGGTTGTGGTGTTTTCTAAAATAGATTTAAGGGTGTGGATATTGGCAAGTGAGGATGTTTGAAGAAGATATTTGCAAGATTGCTTTTAAGACATATGAGGGGCATTATGAGTTTATGGTTATGCCCTTTAGCTTAACTAATGCTTTAGCAACTTTTTAGTCCTTGATGAATACAGTTTTCAAGTCCTTTTAAAGGAAGTTTGTGTTGGTTTTTTTTTATAACATTTTTTTTATCAGCAACAAAAAAATTTTTATTAGGATTAAAAATATCAGAAAAAGAGCATTTTCAAGAATCTACTCCAAGTCAATAGTGTTCCCCAATACACTTATAACTAACTTGAAAATGTTAAAAACCTGGCAAAAAATAATACCGCGGGATTAGGAAAACCTCTCATTCTCTTGAGCTAAGCAAAAGAGATGCAAAATATCCCAAAAAAAAACTCACCTACAATCAAGCAACAATAAAAATAACTACAGCTAAGCTAAAAAGTCCACTGCAGCGTTAACACCCTTTTTAGTTGAAAAATCAGCAAATTCGTTCTTATGTCTCCTGACCAAGTTGAAGGAAATATAAGTACAAACGAAAGAGAGAGCTTCCATTTTATTAAAACTTTTCCACCATTTCCAAGGTCGCTTATCTTTATGTAGCATCCAAGTTTTTTCAACAAATTCGTTCTTACGTCTCCTGACCAAGTTGAAGGAAATATAAGTACAAACGAAAGAAAGAGCTTCCATTTTATTAAAACTTTTCCACCATTTCCAAGGTCGCTTATCTTTATGTAGCATCCAAGTTATTGCATTCTTAGAATCTGATTCAAAATTAAAGGGTAGCTTTTAAAAGTCGAAGAAGCAAAAATCTGAATGGCTTAGTAAAAGTAAGAATTACACTTGCAGCACCTTGAATTAGTGTTACAGACCATGAAACAACATCCATTATATACAAAACTTATTAAATGCCAGTTTGGGGAGCAGCAGGTGGAATATGTGGGTATATTATTGCAGATGATGGTGTGCATGATATAGCATATGATAAAATAAGATTATTTTTTTTATCTTTTGATGTAAAATTAACGGAAAAAATATCACTTTTTTTATGGAAGGACTAAAAAGTTAGACTAAAGCACATGTTGAGGACTATGAAATAATTTGTATAAACAGTAAAGACAAATTAATAAATTTTGTAAATATCTAGAGACCTAAAAGTAATTTTCCCTAGAAAGAAAAAGGAAGGCGCTGATAGAATTCCATGGCCAGCCTACACATAGAAGGAAGAAACATAGAGAAAGACAAATTGTATTGGATACATATTACTATGAGCGTATTTTTAGGTTTAAAATTTTTTATCTATTTTTCGACCATTTTAGATTATTGACAAATAGTTATACAAAGTATTTGGATTACGATTATTTACTATGAGCGTATTTTTAGGTTTAAATAAAAAATTTTTTATCTATTTTTCGACCATTTTAGATTAATTGATCCAAATAGTTTTATATATATATATATATATATATATATATATAATATATAATATATATATAAATTGGATGAAATGAACTAATAATAACAGAATTAAATATATAGGAAGGTTTTAATGTATTTGATAAAAAAAAATATAAATTGGATGAAATGACTAAATAATATAACAGAATTAATATATAGGAAGGTTTTAATGTATTTGAAAAAAAAAACGACCATCATCTAATGAATTATGACTTTACGTGGAGATGTAATAGTAATTATTCCCACATAAAATCATTTTTCTAGAAGACTTTTGTCCTTTTTTATCATTTTATTTATTATTCCTTCAGTGAAAAAGCACATTTTTTTACCATCTAATTATCGCATTCACCATACACATCAGAAAGCACATACTACAATGTTAAGGGCAATGTGCTACTTGCGTCTTCTTTTTTTTTTCTTCATTACCAAAAAGAGAGAGAGAGAGAGAGAGAGAGAGAGAGGGAGAGAGGACTAACAAAAACGCGACGCACCCGCGCACAGGAGACAAGAACACAGATATACACTTTATTAAAACCAGCGGAATGAGCTCCTTGTTAGTTAAAAATAGAATAAGCTACTTGTTAGTTAAAAATAAAATAATAATTGTCGATGCATGTTTCCATAACCAATTAATCAATATCAACTCTACAAAATTAGATAGGGTGACGAGCTCGTAAATCAGTTAACTAGCCAAAAACAGAAATGAATATAAAATTTAAACCAAAAGAAAACACATACTCTGTCAAGCTTACTTCTGTCTTTCCTATATACCCTTGAAGAGGTGAAGAATCCTTGGCAAGGAAATCAAGGCTTTTGGGAGGCAGGAGTGTTCTCTGTCAAGGACGACCCCAATTGAAGCATAAGAGGGTATACAGGACTAAATTCCTTGTCTCCTCTTGATCTAACCTTGGCAGCATAATCATCTAACGTTGCTTTAATACCTTTCCAAATCTGATCCTCCCCTTGAGAATCAAGCCATAATGAATACTGTAGATGTGTGAGTTTGTTTCTTTGTAGCGGGGACTGCAATTCATCAGGGCCTCGGGTGTAAAGGTGGTGAAATATGACGTTTGGTGGAAGATCTTGAAGAAGAGGAGATGCTTCAAGTTGAGATGTCTCTAAGAAAATAAGTGGTCGAAATGCTCGGAGAGCACGATAGGGTGCACCGAGTTGTTCTACTGGGTACAAATTTTGGCCTACAGCTAACTCCAACTCAGCCATGTCTCTAGCCATCCTGAGTTTCCCAGATTCTGAAAGGGGTCTTACAAGAGAAGCATGTCGAATAAAGAATGTCAAAACCCTTGATGCCATGCTTCGTACAAGCTGGGTGCATATAGTTTCTGTCCCTGCAGTTGTAGCACTGTTTGAAGAAGGTAACAGCCTAGACAAGAACTCAGTTCGAAAGTGAAGAATGCATTTTTGTAACTCCTCCATGTATGGGGAAGCATTGTTGTCCATTGCAGCATCCATGCCAAGAACACCAAATTTCTGCTCATGAATTTGCAAGATGCATGACTCAAGACGATCAACCATTGCTTTGAACAAGGGTGTAACTGAATCACGAGCAACCCCATATATTGCACCCAGCGAGGGAGATAGCACTTCTGCAGCAATACTGTGCAATCCACTAATCATTGATGATATGCGTGTGTGAACTTCTTGCAGATGCTGACACAAAGCAAAGTTCTTGACTTGTGCTGGAGTTGCAGGACCTGTAATTTGACGAGCCTCATGACCAGTAGATATCTGTCAATCATATGCAATCTGTTACCTTTAAAATGACAATGCCAGCTTGGTAACCATGAAATCTTAACGAGGATGGGGTCGTACAGGTCTCAAGAGAATTAAATCACATTTATTTTAGGTATTCATAATTTGTTCAAGTATTTTACACTTTGCTGTGGAACAAGACAAATACAGGAATGCTAAATTATTATCGAATAACATAAAGAGAATAAATTGCTAGTGTATAACCTACTTGATCAATCACCTCCAACTTTTTACTACATTGACAACTTATACAAATCCATTCCAACTAAATGCTATCAAGAGACATCAGGAAAACTGATATCTTTATCAGCGCATCATGATAAAAGGCAAGGACCAAAGTTACTTGACACTGGACTTCCAAGTATACCCATTCATGTATCAGAAATTGAACATCCTTGGATTAAGGTAATAATTGCATTTAACAAAACAATGGAACATCTAACAGCAAGAATAACAACATAATACTTTTATTGGAAAACATTATGCAGCAATATCACCAAAAGTTTTGAAGAAATAAAAAAGAAAAGACCAAAGCATGGACTGCAGAAATGCTCTGAGTAGGATATACAAGTGGATTAACTTTGTGTCATATAAGTAACAATGCCACATACAGACCAATAATATAAGATGCACGCATATGCACATGCATATACAGAGAACAGAGAAACATTATTTTCTATCAATAATTACCTGGTATTCGGCTCGTTCTGCAAGCAAAAGCAAAACCTTGCCAATTTCATGCAACACGAGAAGAGTCAGACGCCCATCCAACTGAACAGCTTCAATCTCTTCCTGGATACGTGATATAATTCGAGAAATTTGTTCTTTGGAAGGAACACTTCCTCGGCTGGACATTGGGAAAACAGTATTTACCAGGTCTGAAAGGCGACTTAAACACATAGCCAAAAAAGCTGTCTGGAAACTTCCAATAGCAGTAACCATCTGCTCTTTTCCCTCCAAGTTGATGGCTGGTAAAGCCCCTTTGACATCTGTATCCCGCGAGATCCTTTCTAGTAGATTCTCTATCATTGAGAAGAGCTTTGGATATCCCAAAGTAAATATCTCCTTAACAAAACTTGATGCAGTGAAAGCAGACTTCATTTGGCTTGCAAAAGCTTTCACGAGTGCCTCCCATACCCGAACAGTTAACATGGGATCACCCTCCTATGTGGAAATAAAAAAATGCCAAAGCAAGAAGAGAGAGTGACATAACAGAAAATCAAGATAGCACTTACAAGTCACAGGCACCCATAAAATCAACTTAATCACAAAGAGACATAACATATAAGAGGAAAAAGTCAACCATCCGAAGATGATTCTTCAATCAAGTCCTAAAATTGCGGAGAGCAGAGCATAATGGTCACATATGCTCAGGGAACTAAAACTAATTTGAGTTCAAATACAGAATATTGAAAAGGAAATATGAGAAAATTGAAGAAGAAAAAGCAGCTAATGGCTGATGTACTGTCCTCCAACAACAGGAATTAGAAAACTTAATACATATGAGCTTCAGAAAGAAATAAATCAAAACTTTAATCTGATTCAAATCCAACTTATTGTCCTTCTAAGATGGAAACTGTTTTTGCAATCTTCTTTTGCTCCAAAAATGTGAGTTTAAACACTTCTAAGAAAGCATTAATTTAATGTTTTTAATACTCCCTCCCTTCCATTTTTTTTGCTTGTTATTCCTTTTTTGGATATCCTCAAATATTTGCAAGGTTTCTAAATTTAGATATGTAAACAATTATTTTTCCAATGATAACTTTTATGATTGTTCATTAAATGGACTTTTATTAATATTTTAATGAGTTAAGGGTAAAAAAAGGCAAAATAACTTTTGTTGACTAAATTTTTAATATGCGTGTTTTGTCAAACTATGCAAATAAAATGGGACAGAGGGAGTAATTAGTAATGGGGAAAGTAGGACTGAACCCTGCCCTCACAATGTTATAGATAAAAAAGGTTGAAAAGCAGGAAAAATAGTAATGGCCAAAGCTTAATAGTCTGCTGTGGTAAGAAAAACAAACTAAGTCAAATGATCAACCAATGAAATATAAGTATAAGCCAATTCTATCCTGCAGCAACTGAACAGAAGCAATTTACATTCCCAGTATGAAAAATGTTAGAAGTGTCACGTATACTGCAAACTTTTATTTCATTTACTTCTGCATAAAAGTACTCTTCCAAATCCATTTCTTGCTATTCTCAACCACTAAATGGTTATTGTTATATTCCTTTGCTAATTATACAATATTTTCTTCTTCTTGGATATTATGTTGTACAATGTCCCCCCCCACTCAACTCATGAATGCATATGTTTCTATGTTTAATGAAATTTTAAGCTACAGAACTCCAAGAAGATGCATTTGCTTTAAATTCTATCTTTTTGTGGCTCAAATTCTTTAATGGTTTAAAATCAATCAAAATCGAGAAAATTGTTGCTAAGAGATAAACAGCATGGAATTAGAATGGTTTTATATGTGACCATAAGCCATAAAACAAAATATATGACATTTGAATCTTGAATAAACTTGATGACTATGTAAATATTTAGTGCACAAATGCCAGAAAGCCTGGATATAGTTCCCAGACAATCCCATTACTTCAAAATTCGGTTATAATTTTTATATAGTTACTAATATTCAAGCTTTTAAGTTTCCACTAAACCATCAACTTTAACCATTATTTCCTGCATAGCTTTTGGTGAAATTGCAGAAACACGGGTTCAATCTCAAATTCAAATATAGAGGATAAATATAACTTTTTTTTAAAAAAAATTATACATCTGTTAGTTTCCTATAAAGCCATGGTTTTGCACTGGGTTTTATAGAACACAAATTAGTCCATAGTAAGTATCATTCTTTTTTTGAAACTTACTAACGTATCATTCTTAGTTGAACACACTCTCAGTTTCTCAAGACTTGACTTCTAAATTCATTACCTTCCACAGCAATCAAACGTCAGATTCATTTCAAAGGGAAAAAATAAAATAAAATAAAAGTAGGTAAGTGCATTCCCTCTCACCTTAATAACCTCATCAAGCAACAAGACATGCGTAAAAGGATCCCTCTTCTTGGACAAGACCCTCTGCAAATGCCAAACAGCAACCACAATGGAATATAATTGATCCATACAAGTTGCCATCCTCTGCCACAGCGCTTCTCTGGCTTTTGCTCCTCCTCCGATTTGCGGTGTTCCACTCCCTCTTACTCCTCCAGGTCCATATCCACTACCACCACCTCCTACAGAAATGGCCTTCATATCCAATGCCATACTCACACTCTTCACTCCAATCCCTTTGTACTTGTTAACAAGCTGCTCCACGGTGACTTTTAGCTCTCCCAAATTATAGAAGACTTGCAATCCTGTACCAACTTCAGCTTGATTCAATCCCTCCATTCCCCTCTCCAGAACTTTCATTGCCTCGTTTCGCAATCTTTCGCCAATTTCTTTAACCCAATTGAGCTCTTCGTCTATGCAATCGATTCCCATCAGGTCATATTCACTGCACATGTTCAAGATCTCGCAATGAAGCTGCGCGGCCTTGGCCAGATCCAGCTTTTCAGGCTCTACCTCCGACACAGAGATCAGATCGCGGAGCTTCTTCGACAGTCGGAGAGCACGGATAGTGTGCTGCAAAAGTTCAGTAGAGCTATGGAGATTAGAAAGTTGCAGAGTTTTGGATTGGATAGATTTGTGGGGTTCAGAAAGCTCCGATCGAACACGGCGTACGGAGGACTGGAGAGAGGAGACAGCGGACCGGACGGTGGAGAGAGCGACTTCTGCATGTTTGAGAGATGATAATTGATTGAGAAGTTCGGAGTGACGGGAGAGGACTTCAGTTCGGAGTTGAGATTCGAGCAGACGAATGGCGTTGTGAAGGTGTTCGGCAGTGGAGGCAGGAGAACCGGAAGAAAGGGCGGCAGAGGAGAAGGAAGTGGAAGAGAAGGATGGAGATAGAAATGGAGAAAGAATAGGGTCCTTGGCAAAGGAGTCTAAGGGGGAAGTGGCAGTGGAGGATGGTAGAGAGGAGGAAGAGGAAGGAGTTTTGAAGGTAGAGAATCGTTGGAGAGGTGACGGAGAAGACGAAGAGAGTTGTGATCTTTGCAGCGCTGCTGGTGAAGCCATTTCTTTCTCCTCAATCTGTTTGTTTCTGGTCTGTTACTAGCTGGTAGCCAAGTGGTTTCATTTATTTTTTTTTTTTTTTTGCTATGGGATTTTCACTAAACTTTAATTTGTTTTTTAGATAAATTTTAACTGTTAATATAATTAAAAATATTATTTGTCTAATTGCAAACTCAAAAAATCTTGCGGAAATTCCCAAAATTTTTAAAAAATTTTACTTTTTTAATATTCTATAATATTTTCAAAGTAGTTACATCAAAATTAGAGAGATTAAAGGAATATACACAATATAAAAGAAAATTTTTAATAAATATTTAATATTATATGAAAAATAACCAAGTAAAAATATCGACAGAATTAAACGAATAACATACAATGCAGGTTATAAAAAAAAAAAAACAATTAATAATATATATGTACTTGTAATATAAGGCATCTATATTGCATTTTGCAAGGGAAGTAATTAAATCCATATGAAAGGATATATTTTTGTAGCGATCTTGGAACTTTAAGGGAAGTTGGCTGACTACAGATTTTTTGTTTTATATTAAATATTATTATATTGATTAAAAATTTTATTTTTTATTTTAATTACGGATTTTAATCGGTTTAAAATTTTTTTAATTGAGAAGTAGGAACTTATTTTATAAAGATTTAAATTACAATTTTAATGATTCTAACATATTATTTATTTTATCATATAAATAAATTTAATTAGTAGAAAACCGTTTAGGTTAACCAAATAAAATATTTAATATACAAAATTATTAAAATATACTCTCTCCGTCCCATTTTATTTGTTTGCTATGTTTTTTTTTTTTATGTTTCAAAATATTTGCAACGTTTTTAAATTTAGACATCTAAACAATTAATTTTTCTATAATAACTTTTGTAATAGTTCATTGAATGAAGGGCTTTTAATATCTTAATGAGTTATTAAAGTTAAAAAAAATGTAAATTAATTTTTATTGATTAAATTTTTAATATGCGTATTTTAATCAAATTATACAAATAAAATGAGATATAGAAAATAAATAATTGAGTATCTTTACTAGCTTGACGATCAAATTTCTTTCCCTTCAAGACACGGACTCCAACTTCTTATAAATAAAAGAGCTCCATCCTTAACAAATCAAATCGAATAAGAAGGAAGCAACCATAGTGGCAAAGGCTCTTCAGGTAATTTTTTTTCCTTTGACAGCAACGATATTATTATTTTTTTAGATCGTTATGGTATGGAATATGAAATCTCCATCCGCACTCGAAAATAGCTTATGTGGGATTCTTTGGTAGACATTTTATGAATGAATTCTTGATTTAATTGCCTATTAAATCAAGAAACCCTAGATAGTTCATCACATTAATTAGGGTTTTTACAACGCAGACTGATTTCGAGTGCTTAATTTGTATGTAATACTTGTAATAGTATCGAGTTTTAATTTTATTTGGCTGAATTTTATATTCCCAGCAAGCTATGTATATAATCTTATGTTTGTTTATTCAACTTTTAGAAACTAATTAGTAATGGTAATTAAGTTCCTCAATTGCCTCTACCAAATATAAACAGCAGATAATAAAAATCACTATAGCCAACCACTTAAGAGAATTTAACTTCTTAAATAAATATTTCTTGGAGAAAATATTTTCCCTTCGTTGGTTTCTTCTTCATCACTTCTCTAGTAAAAATGGTTTTTTTTTTTTTAATGAGTAAAATACATCTGGATTTCTAAATTATATCTTAAAAACACTTTTGTTTCTCCAACAATAAATTTGTTTCCAATTGTTATAATTTATTGCTCTTTTATCAGTTAAATTTATCATTATTCGCTTTTTTGTTAAATTTATTATTATTCGCTTTTTTGTATACAGGCATACACTATAATGACAAAGAATTAAGAAACTGTTGACATGAACCTTGAGATGTGGAAAATGAAAAGACTAATTAGATCTCTTATTGATAACTTGCAGAAATTTGAAAAATAGAAATTAAAAGAGAGAAGAAGATGCTCGAGGTACATTTTTATTAAGAAACTTGATAGCCTTTATACAGGCTTACAAAGAGCAATAAAAAATCTTAACAAACTAAGAAATATCAGCTAACGTGACCATGTTCTACTGAACATTATCCACTAATTCTTAAACAATTAGGACTGAAACATTGACTGAGAAAACAAACACTAAAAACAAATTGATTACGGTAACATAAACAATTAAATAGAATTATTCACAATCCCTCCCTTAAACTGAAAACTTTATAACTTCAGTTTATAGCTCTGCACCTTCTCTGCTGCAAACACCCATTAAACTTCTCAAATTTAGGAAGGAATGTAACTTGAGAGACTTAGTAAATATGTCAGCAAGTTGATCTTCACTTGGGCAACACTTCAATTCAATTTTTCCCTCATTACACAAATCTCTCAAAAAATAATACTTCACATCGATATGTTTGCTTCTTCCATGTAATACTGGATTCTTGGAGAGTTTAATTGCTGAGTTGTTGTCACAAAAAATTGTGGTAGCTCCTTCTTGTTTGAGCTGCAACTCTTCAAGAATTCTCCTTATCCAAATGGCTTGACAAGCACAAGATGTAGCAGCAACAAATTCTGCTTCTGTACTTAACAAAGTGACAATGGGCTGCTTCTTGGAAGACCATGAAACAAGTCTTGTTCTGAACATAAAAATGTATCCTAAAGTGCTCCTTCTTCCATCTTGATCTTCTGCATAATCACTGTCAATAAAGCCATTAAACTTTGACTTTTCGTTGGCTCTATAAAACAAACCAAAATCCTTTGTTCCTTGCAAGTAACGAAGAATTCTCTTGTGGCAAGCAAGTGCATTTCAGTTGGATTCTCCATAAATCTGCTTATAAGACTCACTGGATACATGATGTCCGGTCTTGTTCCGGTCAAGTACATGAGGCTATCGACAATTTGCCTATAAAGCGTGCTGTCCATTCTCTTGATGGCAAGCAAGTGCATTTCAATTGGATTCTCCATAAATCTGCTTATAAGACTCACTGGATACATGATGTCCGGTCTTGTTCCGGTCAAGTACATGAGGCTATCGACAATTTGCCTATAAAGCGTGCTGTCCACCTTCTTTCCTTCGGGATCTTTGTGAAGCTTAAAACCAAATTCAGATGGAGTAGATGCAGGATTACAATCCTTGATCTGGTATTTATCCAAAATTTCTAGCACATATTTCTTTTGAGAAACAAAAATCCCCATCTTAGATTGTACTCTCTATAAGCCTAAAAAGTAATGCATCTTTCCAAGGTCTGACATCTCATCAACCATCATAGATGTCTTGAATTTTCAAACATTGCCACTGCCATTGGTAAAATATAAGATCGTCTACATATAAGCAAACAATAGCACATCATAGATGTCTTGAATTTTTCAAACATGCCACTGCCATTTTTGGTAAATATAAGATCGTCTACATATAAGCAAACAATAAGCATTTGGCCTTCATTCCCAATTTTAACAAAAAGGGAATGCTCATATGGACATTTTTGAAAACCATTTTCCAAAAAATAAGTCTCAATGCAACTGTACCAAGCCCGTGGGGCCTATTTTAATCTATAGAGAGCTTTTTTCAATTTATAGACCTTATGCTCATTTCCAATCTTAATATAACCAGGGGGTTGATCAATAAATACCTGCTCTTCCAAGTTACCGTGCAAGAAAGCGGATTTAACATATAATTGGAAAACTGGCCAAGAATTTTGTGCTGTCAGCGCTATCACTAATCTAATTGTATCATGTCATGCAACGGAGTAAAAATTTGAGTGTAATCAATGCCATATTCTTCCTTGTATCCCTTCGCTACCAAACGCGCTTTATACTTATCAACCTCACCATTTTCCTTCAATTTTGTTTTGAAAACCCACATTACACCAATGGTTTTGTTCCCTTTTGGGAGATCACAAAGCTGCCAAGTATTATTTCTTTTGATGGCTTCAATTTCATCATCCATTGCCTTCCTCCATTTTGATTCTTTGACAACACTTTCAAAGGTTGTAGGATCACAATCTGTAAACAAAGCAAAATGAGTGGCCGATTCTTCATTGTAATTAGCTCCTGTTAGCTCATAATCTTTCATCCAAGCAGGTCTTTTTCGAGTACGGAAGGAAGTTTGAGCTAAATCAGCTGCTCCTCTGCTTATTGGTGAATGAATTTCAGAAGTTACTTAACTTTCTTCAGCTATAAGAACATTATTTGTTGAATTTTCAGTTGGCTGCACTTTTTCTTCGACTTCATCATCAAGAATAATTGGAGTAGGCTGCTGCCCATTCCAATCCCAAATGCTTTCTTCATCAAAGACCACATCTCTGCTTGTTACAATTTTTCCTGTTAATGGACTAAACAATTTAAATGCTTTGGATGTCTCAATAACACCTAAAAAAAAATACACTTCTCACTCTTGTCATCAAGCTTTTTTCTTCTTTCATTTGGGACATGTGCATATGCTATACAACCAAAAATTTTGAAATAATGCACAGTTGGTTTTCTATCGCTCCAAGCTTCTTCCGGCGTCATCTTTTGAATAGCAAAAGTGGGACTTCTATTCAACAAATGAATGCTCCAAAGTACAGCTTCAAGCCAAAAAGTCTTTGGAATTCCTCCCCTAGCAAGCGAGCATCTCACCATATTAAGGATGGTTCTGTTTTTTCTTTTCGATACACCATTTTGAAAGTCTTTGGAATTCCTCCCCTAGCAAGCGAGCATCTCACCATATTAAGGATGGTTCTGTTTTTTCTTTTCGATACACCATTTTGTTGTGGTGTATAAACAGTTGTAAGCTCTCTGCGAATTGCTTGAGCTTCGCAAAAACTCTCAAATTCATTTGAGCAGTATTAACCACCACGATCCGTGCGAAGAGTTTTTATTGCTTTCCTACTTTCTTTCTCAACACGTGCCTTGAAACTTCTAAAAATTCCAAAAGCTTCAGATTTTGCCTGTAAAAAAATAAACCCACGTTTTCCGGCTATAATCATCAATGAAAGTAATTAGATATCTTTTACCTCCATTTGAAAATGGTTTTATCG